AGCTGAAGAGCTTGACTTCTGAGGACTTCCAGGGATGTTTTGAACAATGGAAACGGAGATGGAACAAGTGTATTGCTACAAATGGGGAGTATTTTGAAGGGGATAAGATTGATGTACCCTAAATTTTGTCAAATAAAGTTTTTATGACCTCGGTTCGCGTATTTATTGGACAGACTACGTATACTCTTCTTAAACAGTGTATACTCTGTTTCTGATGCTTTTTTGAAGATGTTATTTGGCAAGAGCTGAAAATCTGGCTGTGGGTGACATCATGCTTCCTGTCAAAGAAGTTGTCTTATCCTCAAGTACCAATGCAAGCAAACCTTTTGCGACGTCTTGAAGATGAATGGGTTTTCACGTGTAACATGAGTCACAAAAATTGTCATTTTAACTGTCACAACTCTGTCTTTGCTCTCACGGGCGAATGTTGTTGGTTCCTCTTGGCTGTTCAGGATTCCAATCCATCACAATAGGACTCGAAGTTTTTCAAGGTTTTATTTTTAAGTCATGTGTAACTTCCTATATTTCATTTATGGCAGGTTTTGTTAAATGGCCAATATTCTGACTGAACAGGCATGCCACTACCGCTGCGAGGGACGGATCCACATTTGCATTATATTACATTAAATTTATGCACAAACAAGAAATTATCAGATGGTGAAAAACACATTCATGGCGGCATCTTGTAAAGTCTTCACTCAAGAAGATTTTTGAACTTTACATTTGAACTTTACTTTAGTAAAGTTCAATTGTGGATCCGTGCCTCGCAATGGCAGTAGCAACACACTACACACAGCATTTTATTTAACAGAATCTGCCATAACTCAAGAATGGAAAATTAGAGCCACGTCATTTTAACATATTGAAGAACATGTTAGGCAAAGTTCCTTAAACTTTTGAAGTCAATCCGTTCAAAAATATGGGTTTTATTGCAAATATTTCGAGCGGCTTACCTTTTTTGGGTCAGCACAGTAGTTCCACTATATCCCATTTTCATCATGCTTCCCAGCTTGCTCTGCTTTCCGTTTGTTCAATTTGTTCAATTCCAACGTGTCCAAAATGTCTTGAAATGTATGCATCAATGCGACGTTTGTCAGAAGTTGCTGTGTCATTGTCGTCCGCATCCAATTCTTAAGTTGCTTCAATGCAGAAAAGGACCTCTCTACTGATGCCACAGAAATGGGGATTGCTGTCACAGATGCCCCGTGACACTTGAAACGAAACGTCGTCTTTTTCCATTTGGAGAATCCCTTTTCCACGAATGCTAGTGTCCACATTCCTGCTTTGCAGCATACGACGTGCCTCACAACACACGTGGCACAAAACGGCGTCTTTCGCGGGCAAGTACGAAAGCCATGGTCACATTTCAAAGTACTTTGAATTGAATGCCCTGCCACCTCTTTTTTTTTGGAAATTACATTTTTGCGGCTGAAAGGAGCCATTTTCACTAATGGCACAGATTCCGGTGTAACCTCGTCCGTAGGGACAACCGATGACACAACCGTTGAAATGTTCAATTCCTGAGTTTTTCTTTGCTGCCAACGGGAACACTTTTTGATTTCATTGCCAAAATGAAATCAAAAAGTGTTCCCGATTGAGCAGCACTTCTCTTCCGTGACATGGTACCGAACCTCTTCACTGTCCTACCATTAAAAAGTTTCAAGCCAGACTAAAGGGGGACTGACTTCCGAACCTCCCTTCTTTTCCAGGAAAGGCTTTAGAGGAGAGAGTATAAGTCTAATCGAATCGGAGATGTTGCACCTGAGACAAAAAAGAACTCCCACGGGGCACCTATCAAGTGTGCCCAACCACGCCAGTCCCCTTCAGGCATTATCCTTGCTTCAAGCTAAATTTACTTTCCAAACGCCACTGAATGCCGCAAAGGATCTTAAGTCGCTACTTACCAGTGTACACACTGGTATTAATACCCATTAGGATTAAAAAGTGGGAGGCAAAAGATATCCTTTGCCCCCCCTGCTGGAAAAGTGAGGGTGCATTTGCCAACCCTGCCCCCCGGTTCCGACGCCTATGTCAGCAGCACTTTATTGCATTATTTTATTCACGTACACAACAAATCAATATAGAGAAAGAAAGCGATCACTGTGTGACTCGTGCCACTCGTGACTTTACAAAACGTGACGTTACAAAAGTTCCAAAACCAATGGATATTGCACCGATGCAGTTGATGGTCCAAGTCCTATTTTGATTGGACTAATCTATAGCTAGGAGGAACCAGCAGCATTTGCTCGCGAAAGCAAAGACAAAGCATTGACAATCAAAATGGCAATTTTCGTGGCTCATGTTACGTGTGAAAATCCATTCCTCTTCAAGGGGTCGCAGAAGATTCGTTTGCATCGGTAACTGAGGATGAGATGGCTCCTTTGACAGAACGCATCGTCACACATACCCAGATTTTCAGCTCTTGCCTACGTAACATCTTCAAGAAATCATCAAAAACAGTGTATGCTATGAAGAGTAGAGAAATGGTCATATTGGGTGCCTTAAATTCAAAATGACGATGTTGCGTGACATCGCAGCCAAGATGATCAAAACACTGAATTCCTTTTACTTTAGGATGTACTCTTTGTGGCGACATCCACAGTTGGATTGCTCATTCGTTTTGAAATTTTGATTCCCTTTTGAGTCCCTTTTGCCGTGGAATGACCAATTGAACACCATTTCCATGTTACATTGACTTTTGTCATGCTTTTCTGCATGCAGAAGAACGAAAATTGACAGTTTTAAGGCTGTTTCTCTACATGACAGCACTACACTCCTTCACTTGATATCTGACAACCTGAAACTTTCTTCGAACACACCCATTCTCTTGTGGAAATTCATGCATTTCACCTGAGACATTAGCAAAACAAGTACAATTACCTGTGGGATAAGATGTGATGAGCACCAAGCTGCTCCAGCATCTGCATCCCTTTGTCTGTACCACCAGTGCCTATGACCTTCAGCCCTGGAACATGCATCCATAAGCTCATGATATCAAGAAGGGTCCCTTGAAGGCTTTATGGAAAGATGAAGGAGGCTGACCCAGATGTAATGCGAGCTGCACACTGGCAACGCCAACTCCACCGCTGGCCCCATGGACTAATACTGTCTCCCCTGGCTTGGCCTTTGCTCTGCTCACAAAGTGCATTAATTAACCAGTAATGAGTTACAGTAATGAGGCATACAGTGTTTTTTACTTGAGTTCAATGAGTTTCATTATCATTCATAGGGGCTTTAATTTCACTTCAAAATTATGGTTTAAGAATCACTAAGTACTAAGAATCTGGCTGGATTGAACATATTGGAGTCAACTGAAAATATACCTGATTCAATTGCAAAAGCATAGCAGCATGTCCCAGTCAATTGTCATGTTAGTATTACGAAATATTTTTTTGCTGGAAAACGTTTTCATCTTAGCCAATCTGATACTCTCATTTGTGATCTGGCTATTTTCTGGCAAAATTTTTTTCTTGCAATTTCAGTTCAGCTATTTGCATCATTTTGATATAAGCATCCACATAAAAAATCAATTGTGGGTTACATCATTTCTGCTGCACCCCTCAAATGATACAAGGAAGGTGAAAGAAAAGTTTGAAGTGCATAGAGAGAACTCACTGATGAACAAGAGCACAGTATGCAGTGAAGTATGGGATCCCAATGCATGCTCCTTCAGAGAAGGGGAGTTTTCCAATGGAGAAAGTTTCATACTCATTTGCAGTCACAAAATCAGCAAACGAGCCACCATGTGATGTGTGGATCAGACATCCCACATGGTCACCTTCCTGCACATGATGACAGCACAACTGTACTACTAGTCAATGGGTATATACCAGGTGAGATTCAAATGATCAAGTCACTACCCTACACTTTAAATCCCCCATTCTGGGTGAGTGAGAAAAATTAGTGGGGCTGTAGGTGAAGAGAGATGCTTCCCTCCTGTCATCAAGTACCCTTGAAATTGGAGTAGGAAGGCATTCTAAAGACATTAGCCAATTTGGCATCAAGTCAGTGTTACTACCAGTTTTTGCAGACAGAATCTCAGAAATTCATGACTACCCATCAGATAAGTCAGTGAACATCAAAAGTATTGTAAATTTGTGCACCTTTTGCAAATGAATGGGAGGATGTTCTGCATCCCACATCCAACATACAAGGACCTATTAATATAAAAAAATTCAAAGAATTCTTTTTTTTTCCACCAAGACATTTGTATCTTCCACTCTCAGATGACAGTCCCACTGAATGTCATCCCCGTGGAAGTCTATGCACTTATTTTAACATATGTAGATCTGTTGCATGCACATCTTCAGTCTGTCCTTTGGAAGGACAGACTTCCTTAAGCTCAATTTTCATGGGACTCATGAGCAGAAAATCTGCCTCTCTTCACCATGGAATTGAACCCCAGAGAGAGTGCAAATTGCCACAGGATGCAAATTCCAGTCAATAGTGATGGTTGATGATGATAACTAAGTGGGATTTGAGAGAGAGTTGGATACCATGATGACACATGCATGAGCATGTAGCTTTGTTGTATTTTTTCAGCAACCTCATTTCTTGGCAACTTTTTAGTATCTTGCTTCCTCACTGTCATCAGTGAGGAAGCAAGATACTAAAAAGTTGCCAAGTTGCTCTTCAATGGAATTGGCAACCTGTGACAGTTTCCTCTTCCCCCAGCTCAGACTCAGATTCAATGAATTTACTCATTCACTTTACACTACTAATCTAGTTAAAAGTTTGATTCAGAACTTTCCATAACATTGCTAGACCTTGATGATTATGGGGTTTTAAACACAACTAGATGCATGCAGTTCACATTAACTCTGTGGACCCATTTTGGACCAGTGCAGACCTGCACTGACCATGCAAAGCTGTATACTACGAACATCTAGGAAATTTGAACATGTATGTTCCCATGATAATCAATATGGAATACCATTGAAGATATATAGGGTGATTCAAAATAAATGCTCTTCTGTTTTCTATGGGAGAAACACAGTTTCATGGAAGCAACAAAAAAGGTTAATACAGTATTTAGTTCATCACCAAATGATATTGACTCTGTCACAAAGAATTGTGACTGTCACAAAGAATTGTGACTCTGTCACAAAGAATTGTGACTGTCACAAAGATTCATCACCAGATTTTAGTATTTGGTCACTCAATGAATTTACATCACAAAATTCTTATTACTATCACCAAATGATTTCATCACCAGATCTAATGAATCTTACACCAAATTCTCCCTCAGTATTTTCACCAGATGCCATGAAACGACCACCAAATTTTATTATGTACTTATGTCACTACCCTATTTTGATTGGCTATAGCTTTTCAGAGATAGTTGGATGCAAGTGATACTTGACAGAGAAATTTATGAGTCTAGGAGGTTTTTTTACATCCATAAGATGGTGCTAAGATGCCATTAGAGAGCACTGTTGTTAACCAGAGGGCCCCCAATCTTCATGCTATGCCACTTTTTTGGAAGGAAAAAAAAAACCTGTACATTTTCTTTGAGCCTTAAAACCTTAAGTAAGCATCTCTGCCAAATATCCATTGTATCTGAGAGCCCTTTCAAAAGATTTGGTCTTGAAACCAATTTAATAAAATATAAATATAGTCCAAACGAGTTGAGGCCAAAATTGGGCAAGCTACTCTAATTGACTTTTGAGAAGATGGAGCATAAACCATTATACCATTATTACATTCCAGGTGTAATGATCCACCTGTAAACTTTGTAATGCGACAATGCACAGCTTCTAAGAACTGTTCAGAGAAAATCCCAGACAATCTTCAATGACTTGTATATGTCCAATATCAAGAGTTTCATATCATTTTTGCTCGAACATACGAATCTTACTTTCTCTCATAGAAAATGATGGAGCATCTACTTTGAATCACCCTATATATTTGATGATTTCCCTTTCTTCCAAACCCAGAACAATCCTGAGGAAAAAATTCCACTTTTGGCAAGTATTGTATCCCTGAAAGTAACAAGAGACTCCTTATGCAATCATCAAGGTGTCTGTGTGTTATAACAATGCTTTAGCCTTTCAGGAATTCCACTATGTCAAGCTTAACTCTTAGTCACTAATGTGATCAACTTGAAATCCATTTGGTTTTGAAAATATTTTATAAAATTTGTGTATACCTATTATACATTTACTATAAACATAATTACCTCTCATAGAGAACAGGAAAATGGATGACTGACCTTCCTTTATGACATCCTCTGGTATTCTCCTCCTGCCTTTACTCTCCATGGTACCCATTATATTACCTTATCAAATATGATGGTTCACTCTTGGAAGCTTGCCACAGAAGTTGCCTCTTCCTATCAAGTTTCTTTATTGTAACTTTTCCTGACTTTTTTCATCCCTTCCCCTTACTTTTTTTCTACATATGGTTTCACAGACTCCCTGGAGCTTCCTTGTTGATCCTCAGTTGAGAAACCCTAATCCATAGACCCACATATCAGGCTAATGGACACTGCACCTTGAATCTGGTGATCCCCTTCCCAATTTGCCGGATGATACCAGCTCCATCATAGCCACATATGAAAGAGGAGGCAGGGTTCTTCCTGTTCATATACCTCTCAGCGATGTAAACATCGATTGGATTCAATCCACCAGCCTTGATCTCGATCAGGACCTGAAGAAGGCAGTCTACATTAAAACCAAGCAATTCCAATTGGAATGCATGATGCAATGAAGTAGACCTGGTCATCATTTGGCTTAGGTCGCTCTTGATTGCCGGTCACCTTCAGATGGCCATCCACAACTTGTAATGCCCTCATAGCACCTAAAATGGTGTCCTCAAATATTAATACTTCAGAATATTACATGACGAGAAGTGTAGCCATGTAATTTCTCTTTACAGTAAGCCACAGGAAGCTACATGGCTTCCTATCCAGAGTTGCTCTTGTGTCAGTACTTCCATTATGCTATTTTGTTCCAACAATTAACTTTAAACTGAAGTAACATTATTGAAGTTCAAACTTCCCCCCCCCCCCCCGCAAGAAAAAATAAATAAATAAATAAATTTATCTCTTTTAGGAATTTTTAAATATAACTTTCTTCTTTTGAGCTTAACTTTATTCCTGTCATGGAGAATTTTCAGAAAGAAAAAAAGGAAAGATATATTCTTTTGCAGAAGGCAAAAATGTCATCGAGTACTGTTCAACAACAAAAGATTATCGGAGGAGATAGTGGTCACAAGAAAGGTACAGTTTCCAAGTGGGTTAAATGTTTCTGAATGGGAAAAGTAAGCTTTAACAATGTCCACTGCTCATGCAAATCCAGTTCAACCATCCTTCCCATAAAAGCTCATGGGGTTGATCATGATGTCAACTAAGTAATGATGCAAATGCACATAACTAAGGTAGCCAGTCATGTTAAAACATTAGACTTACACATTCTAGAACATACCACCTTGAGGCTCACAGAAATGGTGGAACCAGTTTGGTCATTGTTTCAACTATCCACCAACCTGTTTCCACAAGAAGGCTAAACCTTTTTGGAGCCATCAACAATGCAAAGATTTCTACCAAGTAAGTCATACTAATGTCCTTTTTTTTCTAAAATCATCTGGGTTTCCCTATTTTCACTGAATTCATGCTTCCATATATTTTCAATTGTCACAAGGACACTCTATTCCAGAAAACTCTTCCTTGTTTTGCCTCAAGAGTAAACCCAGAGAGGAAGAGAAGGAAGTATGCTTCAAACTATCCCATGTGAAAATTCCATGTATGACAGGGTGTATGCTTCTATATGGTCATTTATGATCATATATTTGCCATATACCACCATATAGGTATTCATATATTAACAATTGTATGGTGTATAATATATTTTACTTGCATTGCAATATTTTGTGTGATGGGCAAATGGCATCATGTCTGATATGTGGTGAATATGTATAGACAAGTCTTATGGTTGTAAGTAAAACATAGCATGAGATCAGTGGTGTATTTTGGCTGAAGAGTCAGGGGAGACAGGGCAGCAGAGTGGGGGCACCAAGCCCTGTCCCAGGGATGCCAGGGGGAGGCAGCCGCACCCACCTGCCCCCTCCCCAGAAAATTCACCACAGCGAGGTTGTTACACATGAGGGCAATTGACCTTCAGATGCCACTGTAACTAATTTTTAATGCACCTATTATATTTTACATGAAATATTAAGTATGCATAACCCTAAAAGTAATTTGCCAAAAGTTTGATTACGAACCCCCCCAGCTTAAAATCCTAGTTGGAAACAGTTATAATTTCCAGCTGGACCCATTAGAAATTCAGACACATTACAACTGGGTAGCAGCAGGTAAGTAAAGTCAGATCCAGATTGTTCCTAATTGCAATACACTGGTAGAATGAGAATGTTTTTGTTGGCTGTTCTTGCTGGAGGTCCATCTACAGAAGCAGCTGAATTTCAACTGTAAATCCAGCTGCATTTCAACTGGAGGGTCCTCTGTATAAAATTCTAATGGTAAATTTCCAGCTGTACAACATCCTGTACCCACGTGAAAATTTCATATAAGACCATATATGAAATGGTCATATATTAAACCAGTCCAACAAATATGGGGCATATATGACCATATAGTGCAATTCATATATGAACATATGTGAAACATGTATGGGGTTTGACACAAGTCACATAAACTCATATAAGAAGGAAAATATATGAACCCATACATTTTCATATATTGGCTCATACATATGCACCATATACTGCCCATATATGCCATGTCATACCTATGTATGGTGAGATTACCTGAAACATGCCTGTATCCAAAAAGGGTCCATAATCCATCAGATACTGTATGATTATTCATATGCAAGTCACCATACCTTACTTGCAAGCAACTCATTTTTAATTGTTCATAGACCGCAGTCAATTACTCCAAGAGCTCATGTTTCATGGTGTTCAACATATGCACCCTTGTTAATGAAGGTGAAAGTTCAATATTATAGACTTTAACCTCCAAAAGTATTTTCATCAGTAATGCTATTTCAGGACAAAACTTGGCTTATTCATGTAGGAGTGTCTTCTTCATCTTGACTGACAACTCACAAGATAGATGGAAAAAAACCTATTTCTTCCTGAAAAAATTCAATGAAGGAATTGTTGAATGAAGGCATGGCACGACATGTGCCCCCAGTTAACAACAAAAAACGCATTATTACAAAGAAAAAGATGCGTGATATCAGTGTCCCAGAATTCTTGTGCCCCCCCCC